GTTTCTTTACCTTTCATTTTTTCCAGGTACTGTAGTTGATACGAAAATATGTCATCCAACCGAATTCGACTTCTACCTTTGTAGCCACGCGGGTATACAGGTAACGAAACAGCTAGCGAAATATCAAAAGACCTCGACATTTTGCCGTAACTATACACAAAAGATGAAATTTTCTGTGTTATTGTATGATTTAGGGAACTAGCAGGCCTGCTCATTACCATGTTCTTTGGGATGAGAACAATTTCACAGCGGATGGTATACAATCTCTCACCAATAATCTCTGTTATACCTATGCGCGATGCACCCGATCGGTCTCTATTGGTAAATAACTACATTACTTCTTCTCTCTTAAACCCGCGAAACAAACAAAATCTGCAAATTCCATATGAGTATCTGATGTTTTCTTTGTTGGTTTGTGGATATAGTTCCTCCGGCGTATTATGCGCACCTTGCGGCATTCCGAGCACGTTTCTACATGGAACCAGAGATAATGCAAGACAACGGATCACCGGGAAAAAAGAGCACGAAAATAACAACTGTCGGAGAGTCCGGTGTGAAGCCATTACCTGCTTTGAAGGAGAATGTGAAGAGAGTAATGTTCTACTGCTAAAATCCATCTCTAATGAAGAAAATCTATAATAAGTGGTTTCGTTAATCGTTATAATTCGGCTATTCTGTAAAGTTGTTGGTTTGGTATTTAGGAATTAGGGCATTTTCTAGAGTTGTGTGTTTAGCTCAGTAGTCGATGATAACGTTGGTGCAATGGCTTTGTTATGGCCTTCGTTTCTATGGTGGTTCCTCCATTGTTGCAACGTTGTAGTAAGCTTTTCTTTTAACCTTATGCCTTGTCAGTGTAAAGTAGTACTCTGTTTTATGGTTAAAGATGTAGTTCTCAAGATGATTGCTTATAATCTGGTTCTAGATTTTTCTGACTCTAATGAAGTAATTTGTAATTTTGTTATAATCCGGTTTTAATTGAATTCGAAGTGAACGCATATTTCAACCACTAGTAACTTGACAACCATGAAATTCCGATCAATTTTCATCACTATCCCTTGGTTATCGATTGAACAGAACATAAATCCCAAACCGAAGCGAATTGTACCATCAAATGAATTAAACATTTAACCCTACCTAAACCGGGTCGAAACA